CGGTGAGGTTCCGCCGCTGGGCCTCCCAGAAATAAATCTGCGGACACAGACGATGGGGCGGGCGGGGGATGGACAACAGCGTCCGAGACACCCGGGCCTCAGGACACCTGCACTCGAGCCGTCCACACACCTGGACGGGAGGTGTGAGTGACCCAGGAAATAGTGTGGAGGCATTTAAGAGCGTAGCAACCCTTCCAGAACCTTCCTTTTCTAACACTACAGTTTCTGCTTGTCTGGGAACCCCACGAGGGCACAGTCCTGCTGTGTGTTTATGGTGGTGCCGGCAGGACCTGCAATGGAAGGTAAGCGCAGCGGAGGGTGCACCCCAACCAAGAATGGGGTGCAAGGTCCAGGAGGTCGTATCACCTGGGTGCTGGGTAGGATGCAGGGTGTGTTGACACGTCCCACGGGCACCCTGCAGTTTGCAACGTCAGCTGCAGACGCTGGCGGGGCTGGAGCTGCCTGACCTTCAGTGCACCATTTATAAGGCTCTGACTGCTGGTGAGGCGTCCCCGAGAGCAACTAGCACCACTCTGATGGAGGATTAGCGGGCCTTTGTTGCCACCTGCTGGCAGAAGCGGTTTCTGAGGCTATGGGCCGAATTTCTCCGCTGGCCTGGAGGAAGCTAATCAAAGTGGGCAAGCGCTCACAAAAGCATCCCGCCTGGCCTGTGCGAATGCCTGCGCGGGGCTGGAAGCTCCATCATCCAATTGCTCGCTAACGCTTGTCGCTCCTCCTGCCCTCACATCCCACACTCACTGCGTCAGCACGTTTTGCCGGCTCTACCCTTCACCTGGGACCAGAGAGCAAACCTTGCCGGCACGCTACCGCCCCATCTTAGCTCAGCCGCCACCGGGTCTCACGTGTGATGTGCCTGCTCCCTTCAGACAACTCTCTGCACTGCAGCCAGCACAGCCCTTCACAGACCCAAGTCACCCACGCCCCTCCTTTTGCCCCAAACCTTCCCTGCCTGTCACCTTATTCAGAGTGAGGGCTGTGCGGCCCCGGTCTCTGCCCAGGCCCACGTCCCATCATGCTGCTCCCCACGCACTCTGAGACACACATGGCTGTGTGCTGGCCCACACGCCAAGCAGCCTCTGGCCCCAGGACCCTTGCTCTTCTCTGTTCTCTTCCTGGAATGCTCCTCTTCCAGGTCCATGTGATTCATGCCCTGCTATCCTTCGGTTTTCCTCAAGGGTCAGCTTCCCGCTAAGTCCCTCCCTAACAAACCTACTCACACGTTCACACCCCCCTCAGCTTCTCTCCCCGTAACCTGCTTCATTCACCGCCACCTGGAGCTGCCACTTGTTTTGAACGTCGCCCGTCTCCTTCCCCTACGGTTTACCTTCACGTGGACCGAGAACACGGCTGGGCACAAAGTAACTGCTCAGTAAGCACGTGTCACTGAAGGACAGTGGCTGCAGGGACGGGCCTGCCTGTGCACACGGCACAGCTCGGCCTGACCCTGATGCAGTCCGTCTCAGCTGTGGTCACAGCATGTGACCCCGGCACACGGCTCATGGCAGTGGGTGTGGCTGCTCATCCACGTCTGGGAGGTGGGAATTCCATTTCCCCGGTTAACATCCGTGGCTATGAGGTTTCCCCCAGCGCGCAGATGTCTGGGCGGGGGGAAGTGGGGGGACATACGGAGTCTGCGCACCCACACGCTTCCTGGGGGTGCACATTAACCGGAGACTTCCACACCTCGACCGCCTGGTGGCTGCCACACTTCGGGGCTCCGCCCGGCTCCTTCCTCCTCCCCGGGAGGCATGTGCCCGGGTGCAATACTGAGTGTTCCCAGCTGGCACTCCCCGGCAAGGACTCCAGGGGTGTCGTCATCCTCAGCGCTTCCTTGGCAAGATGTCTTTCCTCCTCTCTCCCGCCTCCTTCGCCCCAGATGGAAAGAGACGCCTACTCCGGATTCTGTCTTAAACCAGGGCCCCCGGCACTAACCAGCCCCGTGATGGGGTGAGCCCTGCGCCTTTTCGGAGACTCGGTTTCTGCCTGCGCAGTGAGGGCTGAGCCAGGTGACCACGGGGCCCCTCGTGGCCCTCACACGCCACACCTGTCATTGCCTGGGCCATTCTCTGGACACGGGAACGGGAGGCAGGCTCCAGTCATGGCCCAGGGCTGTGTCCTAACGGCTCCAGCTCCTCTGGTGGCTTTGTGGTCAGCGCTTCCTCTCCGCCCCTGGTGGAGTGGCGACCAGCACACTTGGGGTCTGTTTCTCTGCCACCTGCTGTTTTTGTGACCTGGCCGGGCCCCGGAACTGGGCCTCAGTTTCCTCATCTACACAATGGGCACACACATGGATCATCTACCAGCTTCCCAGGGCTTTCAAGAGGATGAAGGCATCCTCAAGGGCTCGGTGACTTGTGGGGACTAACGGACTCCTGCCCTAACGGGTGACATCAGTACACATTTAGAAATAGTTTTAAAATAGAGATTTGGACAGTGGCCAGCCAATCAAGCATCAATGTAATGAGGGTGGCCAAATAGCCGCTGATGTTGGCACTGGGAGCTGGGGGGCTGGGAGGGCGAGGCCCGAGTTCCTGTGTCCCAGGACGTGGCATAGGCAGGGGTACTTTGGTCCCAGCTGCACGATAATCCTGTGGGCTGTGTACAAACAGCAGGTGTAGACCTGGGGGCCTCTTCCACCACTGACTGTAGGTCACCCCCAACCCCCAGCCTGGCCTTTGGAGCGCCCGTACCTTGTAGCCCTGGATGTCTCCGTTCTGGCTCTCCAGTGGGGGAGGCTCCCACGTCACGTCCAGCTGTGTGGCCGTGGGGCCGTGGACGGCCACGTTGCGGGGCGCCATCGTGGGCACTGGAGGGCATGAGGGGAGGTGAGTGTGCGGAGCCAGTGACTCCAGGGAGGAGAAGGTGGGGGCGGGAAAGGTGGGCTGGGGCCCTAGGGCAGCGGCACTCACCTGCCTCCCCCACGAAGACCTCCTGTGGGGCACTCAGGGGCCCCTCGCCCACGGCGTTGTACACGGTCATGCGGATCTCGTAGCGCCGGTGCTTGTTCAGGTCTGTGGTGGGCGAGAGGGGGGAGGGGAGGGGCACACAGAAGTCACGGTCCTGCAGGGGATGGAGTCGTGGAGGGTGGGGCTGTGGGGGAGGCTGGATGGTGCACCCTGTGATGCTAGTCCCTGAGTGGAGACTCAGGAAAGAGCAAGGAAGAGGAGGCCTGGGACCTGGACCCAGGGGATGCTGGCTGGCTTCCTGGCCCAGGGGGACCCTGGGGCACACGGTTGAGACTGAAAGGGGCACTAGTCATGGTTGTGTCGAGACACTGGTGAGAACCAAGGCTGTCCCGGGCACATCGGGTCAGGGGTCACTCCTTCCCTGCCTGTCCTAGGTCACAGGTCACTCCCCTGCCTGTCCTGGGTCACAGGTCACTCCCCTGCCTGTCCAGGTAACGGGTCACGGGTCACGGGTCACTCCTGCTCCACATGTTAGATGCTAAAAGTTTCCAGCACCAGCTCCTGAAGGGGGCCCAGCCCTAAGGGAAGGGGCTTATTGGACGTGAACTCTGGGCCAAGAAACCCTGTGTTTTTCCCCGGGTTTGGGGCACCTGGGTGAGATGCCTGGACAGTGGCTGGGAGAGAAGCAGGAAATGGGCTCTGACATCCTGGGTGGGGATGCTGTCCCTGCCGGGGGCACGGCTGACTCCCCTTTCTGGGTGCACATTCTCCCTTCTGGAGTGGGAGTGGGGAGCAGGCTGTGCAGCCACCGGTTGAGGAAGGAAGGAGAGGGACAGTTCAGTCCTACAGAGTGGGGGTCCCTTGTCCAAGGCCCTGGGACTTCGGGGAACCACAGCTGGGACTTGAGAAACAGGACAAGCGCGGGCCATGCACAGGCAGCAAGGTTTCCTGGTCCCTGGAGGGAAGCGGGGGCGGGCTGCTCCCTCCACGGCTGGGTCTGGGCCGGAAGACAGAACCCAGCTGCAGGTGCCTTTGCTGGGCCAGTTGGGGCGGCGGTGACATGGACACCCATGTGGCCAACCAGCCGAGCCAACAGCTCCCATGATGGCCCCACCGTCCTCCAGCCCAGCACACAGACCAGAGCTGGCTGCTTTTCTGTGCCGCACCCCACCGACAGAGGCCTGGAGGACAGCTTCCCTGGGGGCCCTGCGTCTCGGTGCCTTGTGGGAAATTTGCACGTGCGAAGGGTGGTCCCATTCTTGCAGTAGCCCGAGGTGGGCGCGCCACTCGCCTGCGGCCAGGCGTCCTCAGAGGCCCCGCTCCCCATCCCTGAGGAGGTTGCCGGCCCCAGACGGAGCCGCCATGCAAGACTTACTGTCCAGCTCGTACTGCGTGAGGCTGGGCCGGCTCAGGTTCCGCATGGAGAACAAGGCTACCGGGTGGGGAGGTGGAGGGAGGGGCCGGAGGGAGACAGCAGACAGCGGAGTTAGTACACACACCCCTCCACGGAGACCCCAGTGACGGGGGCAGGGCGGAGAGAGGGGAGGGGTTCCTGAGGCTGAGCTAGGCGCCAGTGCTGCCCTGCCCCGGTGTGCGCTGGTCTGAGGCCACGGGGTACCCTGAGCCCCCCGGGGCCCAGCATCCCTGAGGACATGCTGGGGGAACCCTCTCGCCCCAGCTCATTCCCTGGCCTCCGCTCCTGCAAACCACCATCAAGCAGTGGTTGTAAATTTCCTCATAGGAACCAGGAACTATTTCCTAGCAGGAAACATGACTATGAATCACAGGCAATAGAATAACCGCAAGCAAAATAAACAAACAACGCAGGCCCGGGGTCTGCGCCTTCCGAGGTTTTCTATTAAGGCGCCGGAGCTGCGCGGTCCATCACTGCGTTGTCTGCGAATCCTCACTCGGAGACAAGGCCGAAAGGCTCAGGGGAATTACGGGAGGAAAATTCATAGCGGAGAGGATCTTAAACGGCTCTGCCCCTCCTGCTAGCCTCTGGTTGGGTGAATGGTCCCACCTCCCACCTGGGCACCCAAATCCTCTGGACTCCTCCCTCTCCCACCTGTCCCTGTCCCTGACCTGAGTCCGTCACGGAGCCCACGGCACATCATCTCCGATACCGGCCCTCAGTCCCATCCTGAGCTGGCCACCCTGGCCCCAACCGCACGCTCTTGCCCAGGTTCCTGCATAAGCCTCCTACTGGCCGCCCTGCCTCTGGACCCCATCGCCAGCCATCATGCCACCAACGCCACCCTCCTCACCCCCAAATGCAACAGGCCATTCCCTTGTGACTATCCCTGGGATGTCCCCCTTCCCTAGAGGCAGGCTGGGATCTGAGGAGCCCAGAGCAGAACAGTGACCTCCCTGGACCCGGAGGGGCCAGGCTGCTACCCTTGGGCGGTGACCAGGCTCGGCTTTTGGTCCTCCTCCCCCACCTCAGGCCCTTTGCACATGCCGGGCTCTCCCTGTCCCATTGGACTGGTTGCCATGGAATCCTCCATCAGTGTCCGTCCCCCTGGGAAGCCTTTTCCCACACTGGCCTAGGCTCTCCTGGGCTACGTCCTCCCCAGCCTTGGAGCTCTGAGAGGGCAGGGACCTTGTCTGTTTTGTCCACGGTGTCCAGGGCACAGAGCAGGTGCTCAATAAAGACTCGCTCAGTGACTGAAGGGGACAGGGGTGAGAGGCACACACGGGGGTAGATGGCAGGGTTTCGGGTTAGAGAGATTCCAGGAAGCTGAGAGCTTTAGGCAGGTGAGCCTGTACCCCCCTGTCCCCCGCCCCCCCAAGTCCCGCAACGTCACTCACAGGTCAGCTCTGTCCACCTGGCCCCCGGGTTGTTGATGCCACGAAGCGTGAAGCCCCTCAGACCCTCGTACAGCAGCTCGCGGTACCGGATCCGGAAGCCCAGGAGGATGCCATTGATCTTGTCCTCGGCCGGTGGCTGCAGGGAAGGGAGTGGGGGATGGAGAGGGGCCGGGACCATGCAGCTCACCCTCCTCCACTCTGCTCTGCCCTCCCTCCCCGGCTCAGAGCAGAGACTGAGTCTCAACCAGGAAAAGGGGTCAAAATGACTCTGAGCCTTTTTAATTCACAAGGCATTTCCAGCACGGCTGTTTCATCCTCGCAGCAGGCCCTACGGGGCAAGGAAGGGCAGGGATCACCGTGCCATCCCACCTAACGCAGCAGAAAGGCAGGCTCAGAGAGGTTGAGGAACTTGCCCACGGTCACACAGCATCACGGGGGCCCAGCCTGACCTGGATCTTCTCATAGAGCTGGACCTTGCCTAGGAGCTGCCTGACATGGTCACTAGCCACCCTCAGTCTCTGGTCCCTCTGCCTGGAGTTTCCCGAGATCCCAGTCCTCTCCAGCTCTGAGGCCAGAACAAGGGCAGATGTACCCCCACCCCTCTTCCCCCTCCCTCCCTGCACCTCCATAGTGTCTCCTTTGCTTTCTGCACTCGTCCACAGCTGAGCAGAACAAGCTTCGGGAGACGGTAAAAGCTACTTTTTATGACACCTCTCTTAAAAATCCTGCCGAAACCACTCAGCCCTTTATTTGATCCTTAATTGCATCCCTAGCGGCTGCTGGCACCTCCCTGCCCCTGCACCAACATGGCCCCATCTGCTAGTCTCTCCGACTCCCAGCTGCTTAGGTCATGGTCATTTGAGGAATGTAGCCCTGGGCCGGGGGAGGGCTCAGGTCCCGCCCTGTTTTCTCTTTAAGAACTTTCCCTTCAGGGGGGCGGCAGGTGGGCCGAGGTTGGTGCCTGGCCCCTCCCAGCTGCTGGGCCTCACCTGCCATCGGATCAGCACGGAGGTGGTGGTGTGGGGTGTCACCGAGACGATGGTGGGCGCTTCGTCGGGGGCTGGGGAGAGAGGCAGACAGGTGAGCTTTGGGGGCTGGGACTGAGGCCCCCTGGGAGGACAGTGAACTGTGGGCAGCTCCGCCTCCGGTCACCCACCACCCCAACTTCTGCAGAGCAAAGGGCCAGGGTGAAGGGAGAGAGGGGCGGGGACCTTGACCACAGCCCAAGAGCCCAGTGCCCGCTCCTCTCTGCTCAGAAAGCCACAGGCCTGCCCCTGCCCCTGAGGCCCCCCACTCCCATTTACTGGTTTTCCGGGGTTGGCCACCAGCTTGAGAGATATCAGAGAAAAAAATGCACTAGGAGCCAGGCTGGCTGTGGGTGCTGAGCCCAAGGCCAAGGCCCCCTCTGGCCCCGCAGACCCCTCCCGTCTTTGGAGGCCACCCCCTCCAAAGAGGTCACCTAGTGCTCAGGAGGTACCCAGTGGACCAAGAGAAAGACACCCAAGGGTGGGGACACTGACCGGCCTGCAGGGTGGTCAGCGGTTCCGACTCCTCACTGAACTCACTGTCCCCGATGTCATTGGTCGCCTTCACTCGGAACTTGTAGGACGTGAAGGGCTTGAGCCTGTAGGGGAACCGGGCTCAGTGAACGGAGGTTCCCTAACTGCCTTGCCTCGTCATCTCTGCTTGGGCAAGCGGCAGGGTTGTCGATCCATTGCACAGATGGGAACACTGAGGCTCAGAAAGAAGGTCTGTCACATGGGACAAACAGGGGCCAGGCCCTGAGCTCCCAGGCTGGTCCCTAGACCATGCCAGCTTGGGGTGCGGCCACACCTTTAGCTCCATTATAAGCCATAGGTCCCCAGGAGGGATGGTCCCCAGGGGGGATGGCCCCCAGGAGGGACCATCTGCATATTTCTTGCCTCGAAGGAGGAACACAGCAACTCCCCCTCCAGGAACTGCCACCCCTTTCCTGAATTCAGTAACTTTAGGAAGGGCCGCGGCTCTCAAGAGTTAACCACACTTCATCAGCCTCACTTCCTCTCCAGGCAAACGGCTTCCTTTTTGATTTACTGGGAGGAAAGTATCGCTCAAAACTCCCGGTCACGTCAACTGGAGCATAAAAAATACGACCCACTCGGAATGCTACTGAAGCCAGAGTGGCGGAGTGGAGCGAAGCTCCCTATTAAAGATGAGGCTGGAGGAGCTGCCTGGCTGGGAGAAACCGCTAATGAAGGACGGAGCGCGCTTCGCTGCGGGGCTTCTAGGCTCCAGAAACGGATAATGAAGAGGCTGCTGTAACAGGCCCCACAGAGAGGAGGGCGGTCAGGCCAGAGCTGCGGGGCTGAGCGTGCTGGAGAGAGGTCCAGGGCGGAGGGAGCCCTGCGGGGCACTGCACGGCAGTCCAGGCCGGAGGCGCGGGTCGGAGACGCTGGAGACCCACCTGTCCACCACGCAGGCCGAGGCGTTGTGGCTCACGGAGGCCGAGTGCAGCGCCCACCTGCCGCTGGGCAGCTCGCGGGTCTGGACGGAGTAGTAGCGCACGGGGGACAGCCCGTCGCTGCCCGGCTCCCAGGACAGCAGCACGCTGCGTGCCTTCACGTCCTCCTGCCGCACCACGGGCTTGCTGGGGGGCTGTGGGCGGTCTGCGGGCCGGAGGAGCAGGTGAGCCGGTGGGGGGAGGAGGAGCAACTTCTCAAGTGGGAAAAGGAGGTGCTCTGGGCTCAGGGCTCCCCCCTGCCCCACCCGACAGCCAGCGCCTGTGTGGCTCCTGGTCAGTGGCAGCTGTTGCAGAGCAGGCCCCTTGCAGGGGAACTCCCAGCCCAGCCCTGGGTTCTGAGAGAGCTATTCAGAGTCATCCCTGAAGGCCTTGCCTCGCCATCTCTGCTCGGGGCAGGGGTGCTGATCCATTGCACAGATGGGAACATCAAGGCTCAGAAAGAAGGTCTGTTACATGGGACCAACAGGGGCCAGGCCTTGGGGGTCCTGAGCTCTCTTAGGCAGTCAGGCACGTTGAGCCCACCTTCC